TTTGCAAGAACATAATTTATAGGAGTTTAGAAGCTTCCTCAAAATTGGAGAATTACAATGATGATTTTGTCTATAAATAGATATTCCCCTGGTAGGCATTTGTGGTCAGTCGTCATTAAATTGAATTGAAAAGAGAGAGAGAGAGAGAGAAGGAGGGGGGCAGAATAATAAGTGAATATTTATTCTCTCAGCACTTTAAAGCAAAAATGTATATCGTTTTCTGAAACAGCGCCAACAGCTTTTCCCTCCAAAGATGTATTTTCTTTCTCCTGGAGCAACCATATTGTTTGTCATCACCTTCCGCAACTCTGGCCAAACTGACAGAAATTGAGTATCCACAAAAGTGCAACACTGCTTCTCGATCGTTTATTAGGAAGTGCGAAGGATGGACAAAGTTGCCATTGTGCAAGCCTTATCCAGACAGGGATAAAAGAGATAGTCTGGTCTCATCGCGCAGGAATGTGATGTAAATGTTGGTGTTTGTTTGGGATTAGAGACTCAGGATATAGGGTGTTTGGGTTGGGGGTCTTTATAGGTTTTTACAGGATGTCATGCAGCAGGTTGAAATGTATCTTCTAGCAGTGCTTTCCTGGAAGCGAAAGTTCATTGCTACTTTCTTTCTTTCTTTCTTTCATTGCTTGGTCAAGTTCATGGCTGTGCATGGTTTTCAAGAGCACTTCTTGTCAATTTTGTAACGATCACATTGGGAAATCCTTTCAAACATGAATACAGACCTGAAAACTATGAGTTTTGGTTGATAAGATATTCTGTTATAAGCCCTTTGCCCTGGAAGTTCATTTACAGCACTTTTCAAAAAAGACAAATGGTCATTAGGTACTACATGTACATGACAAATTAATCCTACACTACATATATGCCTTAAGTACTCAGTTCAGATGTTGTGTTTAAAAAAAGATCAATTGAAATTCCGTAAGAGAATGTGCAAATCGTTTTTATTTCCTTGTGCTTAATTTAGAACAGACAGGTAAATCTTTTATGTCTGGGACTATATTTCTAAAACTAGATATATGCCTATGCTGCCATATAGGAAAACCTTAATCTCATGATATTGGTGCCAGAAGAAGTAAACAATTATTATTATAATTGAAATATTATGATCTTCCTTAATACTATTACAGTAATATCCAGAAAAGTGTATGGAATATCATACATGACAATGTCTATGTCTGATCTTGATGATGAAGACTGGTCTATATAATACTTCTATGTATCTTTGCACAGTGTTGGCAGTTATTTGAAGGGAGTGGAGATCATGTCTGGTGAAAGGGGGAATTTGTTTGATGACATTCACACTCTGAACAATGGGTCAATAATCCTAATGTATGTTTTGATAGACTTGTTCAAATACTCAGGAAGCAAGAAGTTTATGCAAAGGACAATTCCCATCTTGGCAAAGGGATGTTCAGCCGCATTATAACGGAAAGGGAATGTATTGAATGATGATGGCTTTATTTATTGATTCTCTATAATAAAAGTTTAATGAACCAGCATAATGCACCACTGTAAATATATAAAAAATCAATTTGTATCTATTTGACAAAAAATAATCAATACTTGGCGGCCTAGACATATGAGGGTTCTACCACTTTGTAGTAGAATCATGTGAATGTATGACAGACCTTGTTCTAGTCAGACAGGTTCCAACTTTGTATTTGCACAGGATGAAAACTTGTCAACTCTTGGTTTGACCTTGATTTGTTTAAAGGTTATTCTGTGTTAAATGCAGTTATCATATCAAGCTATCAAAACTTACAGCGTTGCCATCTTCTCTTTGTTATCAATATTTTAGCTTGTTGCTCGCTGGCCTTTATCACTTCATATATATATACTCCTGTGTGCCTTTAGTTTAGGTGCACTCACCAGATTCCAAGGTTGGCGATATCAGAATGGATCACTCTTTTTCTGTCTTCAGAAGATAAAATATATTTATGGGACCACCAGACACCCAAGGAGAAATATCAACACAATTAACCCACAAACATCTACAACAAACTCTACATCATCTTAAAAGAGATCATCAAAACATTGAAGATACCCCCTTGATAAACAGTTCCATCATGGTATCTTCTTCTTGTTCATGATGATGATGCTGATGATGGTGCCACTGCTAGCACAGCCATTACAGTGATAAGGAGAAAGCTTTTAGATGGCCGTGATGACACATTTACAGGTCGGACATGTCTTCCAAGGGAGAGGACCCTGGTCGTTGATCACCATTCATGTTTTTCTTGAGCGTCCATAAACAGCACTTTGTACTTGTTAGTGTCAATTTCACTGGTGCCTTCCTTCATTCTTAGAGTCATTTCGGTAAAAGTTGTGTTATTTTATAGCTTAAGTACAGATAAACAGTTGAATTAGTGGATAATGAAAGTTTGTGGGAGGTTGAGCCTTTTTAGGGTACAAAATTGATAATAAAATTGTAGGATTTTAAACAAAATTAAAAGGATTAAATTGACAAGAAAGTATCAGGCTATTGAATTTTAGAATGAAGTGATCATCATTGTTATGGTATGATTTAAGTTTAGTAAAACATGCAATTTTCCAAAGAATCCAGACCAACCTTTGTATTCATTGGTTTTATCTGTGGATTATAAAAAATATACTGAAAATCATCTCTCAATCACATCAGAATTCAACATTTATTTGAAAATGAAGATACAAAGAAATGTGAGAAAGCTGTTCAGATCTCAAAACAATTCAATCTATCATTTGGAGTTTAAAATGTTTGAAAGCTTTCTGAATTTAGATAAACGATTTCATTAAACATTATTGTTTGAATAAGGCTGTAACATTAGAGTATCTGCATAGGATAGTATCTCTGATTGGAGTAAATTAATTCAGTTATATATATCAACTGGTATGTGATATTAAATGAAATCAAATATGTTAGCATACATGATGTATCCATGATTAAATTAGAGGTGATAGGCTCAACACCAGTCTCTAATTGATAATGATCTCTCTAGAGAGAGAGACAGCAAGCATTCCAACGTCCCTGGTAGAGTTTGACTTGCTGACTCATAGATGTATATGGCATTGTCGTATAACATAATAATGTTCAATCTACAAATATTTGCTGCAATTTCAAAACTGGATTGAACTTTGAAGTTCTTGTCATTTTGGGCTTGCCAATCTCATGATCTGGTGATATCAATTATGATACACTGAAAAATATAAACTGTCTTGAATTTTTGTTAAGGTGTTTGTACTTTGATAGATTATTAATTTAATTTCTTAGAGCAATTTGTAATACTACTAGGCCTATTGGTGATATCATCCAGGACATTCCAGTAGACTGACAACCCATGAGACTTACCATGTAGGTCTGATGAACCCTCAGAAAGGCTTTTGAGTCCAAAATATCGGTCTCGTGGGCCGTCGGTATCGCGAGCCTTCTGACAACTTTTCATCAGGTTTGCTAGACTGACTTTATCAGTCCTTTGGATTGTTGGACACATGGGCCGTTGGTTACGGTAGTCTCTTGGGCTGTTTGCATCTTCTCATTGATTCTTGTAGATGTTTGTTCTACTTGTAAACCCTGATGACTGGAAGTTAGTTGAACTTGCTGTGATTGCAGTTTTATTCACAATAATGTGTTGATGTCTATACAAACATTTTAGTAATATTCCATTGTTTTACATTGTTCTTGCTAACAGGTATTCTTTATATGATGATCCTATGGATGCCTACTGATTGGTAATGGATCTCTTTGCCCATTAGTGCCTATTTATTGAGGTAAGTTAATACTGTGTGTTATGTAGCTTTTTATTTTATATTCGATTAGTTCAATATAATTCCTCATCACAGTCAGTGCCTCTTTCACAATCAATGATTATCATCTTTATAATTGTTTCCATTCATCATCATCATAATCTCTCTTTTCTATGTTTTACATTTTATATGGCACGTCCAAACTATTTCTTTCAATATCTTTATTGGACCTGAAAGTCCAATTCGTCCTCGCATATTTTCCCTATCAAATCTTTCTCTGTTTTTCCTTCATCTCTTTTGTCTGAAATAGCAGAGGTGTTAATCTTCTTTTTAATCTTCCTTAGTCTTCACGGACTCTTAGCTGTCTGTCTCCCTCTCTCTATCTCTTTCTATAAAGTACCCTACTTGCTCCAACCATGGATGGACCTTACCACATAATGCTCTAACAATGAACCTAGCAAGCTGCCTTTTGAATTGTTAGATTGGTATTATTTATCTGCCTTTGTGTTTGCTGGGTATCACCTCAGTGGTTTATCTAATGATAGCCTATCCTCCCATGCTTGGACTCTAATCTTGGTTGATTAGGTGACTCATCAGGCTGGTAAACATTAGTCAACTATTTCATAGAACTGTGCTATTTTATTGGTCGGTGGAGGTGACTTCAGGGTCCATGGGTCTTACAAGTCCTGTTCAATGTGACCTCTATTATATTGGATGTAATCAGAGTGAGGTTTAGTGCATCTTGTAGCTCTCTGTTTTGAAACTTCAGAGGTATAGAACTATGTAATGTAATGGTAGAAAAAGCAATAAAAGGCAGATGAGACCAACAACAACAAAAAATAATCTAGCTTATTTCCCCCACTTGCATATTCTAATTACATACTTGTTCTCTCCAAAAGTATTGCCTAATCCAAATATGTTTGTTGTTTTATCATACCGTTAGTTCATCAAACCTGAACTGTTGTAATGGTCAGATAATGTTATAACAGATAACAAGGTCATTCTCCTTCATATGTATGCAGTGCTAATGTGGGAATTATGTGATGTAGCCACATCCTTATAAAGTCTTCTAACTTTTAAAGATTATATTCTGACATCATTAATGAGTTATTTCACTTATGAATACCTTTGCAAGAAATGCATGAGGTCAATTATAGATTTTGAGGTTTGTGGTAGCAATAGGGTTACCACAATGAAAGGGATGAGGTATGTGTTAGATTTTTTTTTAAGACCCTGAAGGCTGAAAAAAACAGTGGTCAGTTTAAGAGCATGTGATATTTGTCCAGACAGAGACATTCGTAGAGATGGAACATGAATAGATTCTGACCAAGGTCTACAAATTGAGTTCACTTTTAGACCTGGTTTAATCCAAGCAAACCCCAAATTGAAAAAACTATTTTTCTCGCATTTCTATCAAGTTATTTGCGGGGAGACCAAGGACAGGTTTAGGACCCCAAAACATACATCACGTATGCTTGTGAGTCAGGAATTTATCTTCTTCTTCATTATCATACTGCCCGATACCCTGTTCAAACACTGACCCAACTCAGCGAACAAACACTCGTCATACATGTGTTGCTTTCGAGTGTATCCACCAGGAGTGAAGTGCTTATTCTGGGCCATTGTCTTGGAAACGTGGGCCGACATAGTTTTGACGCTTTCCCACTAATTGTCGCCCCCTGTTGATGAGGTAGCCCAGCATCCTTTGTTGTGGAAGGTAAGATAATGCCTTACATAATCCTGCAAATATTTTCCCAGCTTTTGGGTTTTTGAAATCTTCCAGAGCACTTGATAGGTTGGAGTGATACCTAACATTTAACTGCCAAGGAAAATGGGTGTGACCAGTCGTATTATCGATTGGTAGAGAGAAAGTGATACTTACAATTCTTATCTCAATTCTATGTGAGAATGTGATCTATTACTCAGGTATGTTACTTGGGTATCTAGGAGATAAAACTTTGTGGAAACTGCATGAGTAATCTCCACTGTCTTTTTTGAGTAATTGACTTTGAATATCGTTCAGAGTACCTTCTCTAGATTATTGTAACTACATTGAATCTAGATAGCCATGGATTTTTGTCAGTCCATATACCATTTACAGAGGCTATTTCAGTTGACTCCAGAAAGAAATGAAACAAACTTAACTTTCACACTATACTTCAGTCAAACAAACTACTCTGATATTATCACAATTTGAGATAGACAATAACATGGCCTTCTATTGTAAGAATGAAATATTGCACAGCCTTGATTTCCATATCAAAACTATGCAGTCAATAAATACCTCAATTCTAGCATTAGCACATAGCATGAAAGTTTTTCTCTATGAACGAGAGTGACTCTTCGTCTACCAAAGATAACACACCTTGTGAGTGATATAAAAATTACTAAAGAGCCAATATGACAAAAGCATATGTCTGATAACCAACTTGAACTCTCTATTTAATTTCTAATTAGTTCCTTTAATTGGTATAGCGTTGTACAGATTGTTATTATTTTGCTTTCAGAGCCCAGGCGAAATTAGATAAAAAATAGAGCCCCATGATAAGGATCACAAGTCTTGGGGACAACAGCACTATATTGCAGATGTCACCAGGGATGTTTTACATGAGTTACATGACATTCTATCTGATGTTATCAATTAAACTCCTTCATCCATCCACTCCCCAAATTAATTAAGCAGGTGTTTAATCAAGATTGGCCTGAGATAATCAAATGCATCCAGTTGTCTAGTTTTGTTATCTGGACTGTAGGATAGTCTCCTCGTACAGACTTTTGGTTCAAATTCAGACCTATTTTTGTTAATCGTTTCATGAATCGGTTGGGAACAGCATTGAGTACAAAACTACTCCTTAATATGATATTAGTTATTGCTACATGTTATATGAAATCCATCAGATACAAACAAAGACATGATTATTGAGGAAAAGAATTGAGAATATGAGATATAGGGAGATAAGAAAGAGAGATAGGTTAAAAACAAAAATGAAGGAAAGAACAAGATTAACAGACAGAGATTAGCTCAGTTGGATTTAAGAAGTTTGTGTTATACACAGCTATGTGAAATACCAATGACATTCAACAATTTGGGAGTGAAACACAGATTATCGAAAGGGATCTAGCAGTTTCCATTATCTTCTATTATCCCTGTCTTAGTAATTAATTTGTATTCCCGACTGCAATGCGGTGCCATTTATAGTAATCCACATTTTCATATATTGGTGTACCAGAACATTTAGACACCTTTGTACAAATTTGATTTTCTACCTCTATTGGTGATAGTTGCCATGGAGATATCTTATTAACAATGTTTTTGTGATTTGGGTATGAAATAGATTGGTTTGCACAAGGGCTATGCGTACCACAATGAGGGTGATAATCACTTTGATAATGATGTTATCTGGGTAATTTAGTTAATTTGCATGTGTATTGACCAGAAGGGTTTTGTGCCTTTTGTAATGAAAGCGAATTATTCCTGGCTTTAACTCTTGTCTTGAATGGTATCCAACATGTGGTACCTTCAAAATAGAGAGAAAAAAAATTAAGTGCTAACATTTGAACATTGAAATGAAATCCATTAGTAAAAATTGTACTATTAAGGTACATAAAACTTCTGCATGATTTTTGTCTCGCCTGCGTAGCAAAAAGCGAGACATAGGCGCCGCTTTTCCGGTGACGGCGGCGGCGACGGCGACGGCGACGGCGACGGCGTCAACATCAAAAACTTAACCTAAGGTTAAGTTTTTGAATTTTTGATATAATTTTGAAAGTATAAGTTCTTAGTCAATGAAACTTTGACTATAGGGTAATCAAGTACCCCCAATCATGTGAGTAGAATTTCAGATCACAAAGTCAAGGTCAAAGGTCATTTCAGGTCAACAGACTTGGACTATGTTGTAGCATCATCATTGAAAACTTAACCCAAGGTTAAGTTTTTGAATTTTTGATATAATTTTAAAAGTATAAGTTCTTAGTCAATGAAAATTAGACTATAGGGTTATCAAGTCTCCCCAATCATGTGAGTAGAATTTCAGGTCACTACGTTAAGGTCAAAGGTCATTTAAGGTCAACAAACTTAGACTTTGTTGTGGCACCACATAAAGATTTTCAAAATGCTTCTTTTTCGTTATTTTTCAACCGATTTTGATTCTGATTGTTTCATATGATAGGGCTAGGAGGGGGATTTAAAATTTCTACACAGAATCGTGAAATTCATTATCTATGCTAATTTATGCAAATTTATTCGAAATCACAAAAAAGGCTTCTTCTCCTTCATTTCTCGACCGATTTTGATTTGGTTTGCCTTATCTGGTAGAGCTAACTTTGGTACACTAAACTTCTACACAGAATTGTGAGATTTTGCTCTATTGATTATTTATGGTACTTTATGCAAATGAAATGAAATTATGTCCCTTCCAGGGCATCAAATTTTTATTTTTTGACCAGTTCAAAAGTGTACCACATAAAATTTACGATATTTGTTGTTGCGAGATGCGGATGAGCACTACGTCATTGACGTTCTGGTTTATCATATTGAATTGCGTTATGCAGGCGAGACCGCCGAGAGCGTTTCCCTTGTTCTTGTTGACACTGCTGCTGTGGATACATATAACTACAGTATGTTTATTACTCTATATTTATTTTTTTTTAATTTATAACCTTTCTAACATTATTACAGAAAATGATGATTGTCATATACTTTTAATCTCAAAGTACTCCCCTGCATCTATCAAATATAATAGAGTGAGAACATTTAGAGAAATTAGTCTTATTGTCTTGTAAGAATACAATAAATGTACCTTTAAGACATTCTCTTAATTGATTTGGATTGAGGTGATTTGTAAGTTGCATTTTTCTTTTAAAAACATTTTTTTTAAATTAAGAATACAGAACAGAGGTGGGATTTTGGTTGTGTTCACCGGTAATAAGTTAGCAACTTCTAACAACACCGGAATGTGAGAAAAATCAAATATTTTTGCTTGCACTGTAAATGCTGCTAATGTTTACTTGGGTCATGAACTGGTGAAATATTTACAAAAAGTTGAATCCTACCCATTAAGATATACTCCTCTTCACTAGATCTGAAACAATCAGGAAAAAAACTCTGTAAAGATCTTGAGTAAATATTTATAGCTAGAAAGAATATAACAGCTTTAGTCAAGATTAGCTTATCAGGAAAATACAAAAACTGAACTGCTTTGATGAATGAAGTTGTCAGTTTGTAAGGAAGAGTGGATCAAAAAATGCATTAGACGAAGATCATACAGATAGGGTATGAAAGGAATAAAAAACGAACGTCCAACAAAAACTAAATCCATTCTAACTTGAAATTTTATGGTAATGGCCTTTATCTGAAGCCTCAAGTGGGAAGATTTGTGTAATACCCCACCCTTGTAGTTTACATGATATTTCAGCAAAATTTGAATTCCCACAATCACTGTAGGATCATTTTTGTGAGGGATTTTAAGTAGATTGTTATGATTTATTCATTTTGCAATGAATAAATCCCTGTCATCTCTTTCCATTAGTAGGGGAGTGCTAATCCAGTCACTATTATCAGATGTTAATTTATAGAATTTTCTACCTTTTCTTTCACAAGATGTGTTAATATACTTAGAAGTATTGGCATTTAATATCAGCTTGTGACGGTAAAGCTTTAACTGACTGCATCCCTTCTTAAAGCTCATTCCCTCTGCTTTAGTAGTTTGTTGTCATCAGAAGTTGAAGTCTGAGGGAGCTTGCTTAGTAGTGTATCTTGTTTCTCTTCCAAAGACACAGCGATTGGTTGGAGGGCATCAATGATTGAATTTAGAGGCACCCCAGTACGAGTTTCCAAAGTTGAAAAAACAGTCGAACTCTCTTCGGATTAAAATTTTGACAGCCCTGTTTTGAGAGGATTTGTAACAGCCATTGCTTTCAAAACAAGAATGTCAAAATTCACAAGTCAGAAAGGGGATTTCTTGCTGTCTGTGCTCAGACAGTTTCTCAGGTTTTATAATTCTGGGACCGTAATGGACTAGAACAAAGACAACTGTCAGCGCTGACCTACGACCTTTGAGGAGATTTAAAGAAATAAAGAGCGCCATCTCCGATTCCTGTCTGATTGCTTCAGTGATGTGATCTTATTTAGTTTGTGTTCACCATGACCAGGTATGGAAAGACACTGAAAGATGTTCATTGCACAATTTTTCTGTCGCACCATCCAACCATCCAAATGAAATATAAGGAAAAAAAGGAAACTTTAGTCTATCATTAATGGAATTAATTAATTGACGAGAGGCATTAATTGGCAAACATAGCATTTTTCACCATCTCCCCTTCAATCTGTCACTGATTGAAATTAATAATATTAATAATATTTGGTTCTTGTATAGCGCATATCACATTTAAAAGTCTCTATGCACTTCAAAATTAACAAGGTAACAATTTATTTAGAAACCTTGGACCCTATTCAGCTTTCAAAACATCAAATGACATATGCAATTAGTCAGATGTGATACTTTGTAATAATTTTTGTTTTTAAGTGAGAAAAACGAGGTCGTGCTGACAATGGGTAATGTTAGTTCTATGCAGAGATACGCAGAAAAAAGAAAGACACAAGGATACATTTTAATCACTATTCTTTAACACGTGTATTCCCAGATGTTCATAAGCAAGTAGTGTATTTTATATGCTTGTTATTAAGTTGAATCCTTTATATATTACATTTTTAAATCATTAAAGAAGTTTGAACCAGCTAATGAATGGAGCATGTTCCCATGGATCCCAATGACTCATTAAACGTTCCAAAAGGAGCCAGCAATTAACTCATGATAAAAAGATGACTCTAGAGGATTTCACGGGCACTAAATCATCAAGTCTTTCAAGGAATTATTTCCAGCTCCACCGATCACGCGAGACGGTCCCAGACAACGGTCCCGCGCCTGGTGCGGTCTAGCAGCACGGAGAAGGAAATACCCCATGACGGTATTATCTCTGAAACCCAGATGGACTTCTCATTGACTTTTGACTCTGACATTTTGCTCATGCACATTCCCCTCCTTCATTCGGCATGGGATGAAGTCACCAGAGGTATCTTCATTATTGTCTGCTGCTAATTTAAAGCCCCACTGTTCTACTTGTAGCTACTTGCTCCCTCTATATAGAAAACTTCCCCAATCGGTGCCTGTTGGTCCCCCATGATCCTCTTTTTCTTATGTTAGTTAAGAGCTGAGTTAATGAGATAGCCACCTATCAGTGACCTTGCAGGGTGGCCTAATCCCTTCTGGCCCAGTAGTATTGACGGTCTTTAATGTCACTTTCCAGTTTCCATTTCTAGTTTATATCACAATCACCCGGCATTGCTGCTGAATGATATTGTTTAATTAAAACTGTTATTATAATGCCGTGATCCACCCATGGGATGATGCAGGGCTATGAAATATATAGTTTCTTTATTACAATGTACTATTTCACAGGATACCATAGCATCTAGATGCTGAAATAAGTCATAAATTAAGTGTAGCAGCTTTAAATGGACATCCTCACTGCTAGCACTGGCATTATTTAGGAAAAGTCAAGGTACTCAGTATACTTTCCAGATATTTAGTAACTTTGGGGGGGGGGGGGTATTTTTTTCCACTACAGAATGTATGACATATCTGTATGTGTCATTTCAGAAGTTATATTAAAGTCTGTGGCATATAATTGAAAATTGTTTTTTTAGTTGATTTTACCCCTGGAAACATTTTAAAAGAAAACTAAAATATTTGATTCAGTAAGATTTTTATGGACCTCAATGGGGGAAAACAAGGCTCTAATTGTTACCAGGATACAAAGTACTTAGCATTTACACCAGGTATGATTTTTATTGTGACTGATGGTGTCTCTTTTATGATCCATTTTGTGGTTTTTATACAATATTAAAAGAGTCACGAAAAAAGTACACTCACCTTTAATATTGACAAAGGGACACCAATATCAGAGATTGGTAGGTGTGATGTCTCATATTGACAACTGTTGACAATATAAAGGGACTGTTTGTAATATAATTTGACACTTAATAAAAAATAGTTGCGTTTGCAAAATGACTCTGAAATATTAAACATCCAGTATGTGAGGGTTTTAAAAACAGCTCACTTATGGAAGGTGAATAGGATAGCATCTGTTTGACAATATTCATGATTGATTTTAAACTTTTCAGAACTCTATGTAAATTACACTTCTCACTACATGCAGTAGTCTACTTTCATAAGAAAATGGACATACATGTAGGTCTTCATCAATGTTTACATGTCTAAATGAATTTTAGAATTAAAAATAACACCAGAAACTTTACTGTGTATGAAATATTTGCAAATTTTGTGAGTGGTTCCCAACTTCCCACATTCACAAAGTTTCATGCCACACAAAATGAATGAATTACAACTGATGACCTAAAACTGAATGCTTGCAATTCATGAAATTTTCTTGAAATGAAAGTCGCTGTGATGTACATCATGAAAGTTCCATGTCATGAACATTTCTGATTTTAAGTACTGCTATTATACCGCCATTTCCCCCTTGCTCATGTGCAGTGTAGGAGGACTACAGAGTATGAGGGTCCATTAACAAGGCGAGGTAATCAGCGTGCAGTCTTTATACATGATTGCATGGGCTTTTCACATTCAATTTGGTAGCATCATTTGTAACCATGATTGACCAACTGGTCTCCAGCATGCCAGTCTGTCACCGTGCAGCCTTTGCCCTAGCTGTGAGCCTCTTTCATGACTCTATCATGACTCTATCTTTGGAACATACCCTTGTCGGTGTGGAATATAGTACGTGACAGTATACTAGAAAGTTTTAGAAAGTATAATAACATTTCCCAGAAGCGGATGGATATAGACATGATACTAAAATTAGATGTTGAACTTCAATTCCCTACATACAAAAAGAAGTGTAGAGATTCTAAATGAACATGACAACACTAAATGGTAGTCTAACTCTAAACACAACATTTCCCTTGTTTACAAGTACCCGGTCTAGGTCTATAGGATTCTTTACTCATTAGTCATCGGGGTATGTTGAGATAATGAAAATGTTTACACAGCAGTTTGCTCCCAAATTAGCATGGAAAAGGTTCCTTGAAAAGTTGGAATTACCCTGGTCCATATTTTATGCCACATGTTAACTGGTGTCTAGATGCCTCAAAGATACTTAGGTAATTAGTGCTACTAAATATTTAGAAATATAACTGTGTGGATGTGGAAACTTTTCAATGAAAGTAGGGGTCTATTTATTCTTACTTGCATGGACATTGATGAAATCTCAACCTTACTCATTACTAGAGAGGTGTATTAAAATATAACTACAGTTAATTCCTGTCTTATTGGCCACCTCTCTACAAAGGCCACCTTTCTATAGCAGTCATTCGCTTTATCTCCCTCTAGAAAGAAATATGTGTCATAGAACCTGTCTACAGTGACCACTTTCTTTGTTACCCTTGGGTGGACTTTATAGACCGATTTGACTGTACTCACTCTATTGTTAACTTTTTATTTACCTGGTATACCTGGATATTCACTTTGTAAAATGTTTATTTCTATATGATATTTCAAATCCAGGATTTAGAGCTACAAACCTCTCTATCTATTCTCCCACGTGATATATTTGTTGAGGCATGAACAGATGATCTCCCAGTGCCCTCATTATTTTTTGCTCAAAGTCCCTTGGGGCAAAGGAAGCAATGATGATCATGAAATTGAAAAATATCAGGTATCATTTTCTTAGCCATGCTGCCTCGCGGTAACTAAAGAGAAGGCTGTGATTAGTGTGTAGATAGTCTGAAATCATGATGGCTCTTTCTCTCTCACGATCTTCTTTTTGCTTGTTTTGGGTGATATGCTAGAGGGAAAATATAAATCCTCAACACTAGTTTATGCAAAGTTTATGGAAATATATGTACTGTCATACTCATAAATGGCTTTTACAAGCAGTGTTGTGCTCATGAGATATGAGTTCTTGCTAAGACGGTGTAAAGGAATATTGTACAGAGCATTAAATAATAAGCCCTATATAGACTTTTGAACATTTATTTTCACTTTTATTTTGTTTACCTTGATTTACATTATATATGCTGCATCATGTATGAAATATAATTAGAATTAATATACAGTATGAAACATGCCATAACTTTAACGTGTTTAAAAATGGAATTGTTATAGTTCATCTGTAAAAGGAATGAGATGATAAATTAATGAAGGAATTCATAGATGCTAAAATGTCTGTACTGTAGTGGCTTTGGGTAATCTATACTTTCAATTTGTCTCATTTTGTCTATTGTAAACCTCCTCGCTGGCTGTCATCGCCTCCCACATTTCAAATTGCCTCATTGATCATACCTAGCAAGGTTTACAGGTATAGAAATAATGAAGGTGAAAGTAATGATATTTCAATCTTTAAATGACTGTGTAATGATCTGCAATCATTCAATTAATATCATTGCTGTCACCACACTCTTATGCTTGACTTTTCAGATTTATCATCATATCGTATCACTTATTTTTCTGCTGAGAATCTCAACCGTATCTATATTTGTTACCGGAATGATCATTTAAAAGAACTTAAAGAGATTAGTATGATCAATCAATGGAGAAATTATCATTATGTTGTTAAAGACATAATGATATATTCCTTGTTATGTGAAGAAAGGAATGGAGTGAAGAGAGGCAATAATACCAAAGTGTTACTGTTTATTAGTTACAAGTTTTAACTGTTAAGAATTATTGTGTCAGGAATAAATCCATTCTGTGTTTGTCAATATACCTTTATTTCCAGCAGTGCTACTTTTGAAATGTGTTACGAATTTGGCAAAACATGGAAACAGAGCAATAAATCAGGTTTTGTACGAACCACAAATAAATAATCTTGTATCAGAAGGCATTGCCCTGATTGTGGTGTGTATCAAGTTTCTAGTGAAAATATATCCAATTTCCAAATTAAAAACAAATTTGTACTTTAATATCCCATTTTGAGACAAATCAATTACTCCTACATGTGACACTTCTCAACTTTAGGTATGAAGTGGAGACATCATACATGATTTATTAGACACTATAGGAGCTCCTTCAACCCCAAATTGTTGAGCTCCTTAGGCCTGTTTTCATCAGACCAAAGTTGCAAAATAACCTGCTATTTTAACTACCGCTAGCCAGATCATCAGCCCGCAGTTGCAATTAGCGGGTTATTTTGTTGAGAAAATATCCAGAGAAATTTTGTTTTTGTTTCCAAAATATCCATCTGTTTGGGAAATAGCGGGCTAATTTGCGCCCATCCGAGCTAGTTTGTGATGAGCGTATCGGTCTGGTAAAGACGCAATTTCGATTTTCTGGATAATATCTCAAGTCTGAAAATAGCAAGTTATTTGGCAAACTCGAGCTAATGAGGACAGGCCTATTGAGCGGTCTCCTCAGAAGGCATATCAAGTCTGACTTCATTGGATTGGTATGTTCACCTCATATTTACTTTTCTGGGAGGACATCTATAAATTTTACGATTTGAACAGGTAGCTGGAATGACTGGTGGTGACCCTTGTGCCTCCGTCTTGATTAGCAGGCCAGTGAGATACAAAATATGGTTTCATACAACTTTTTTTCACCTTCAATTTTAGAAGGACTCCTCTATTTCCTAGAATATAAACGTTCAATTAAATTGGTGTATGAAAGAGATCAATTTAGAGGGAAGTGCCCTTTTGTATTGGTCCTACAATTCTTATATGAAAGGAAATCCCATAGCAAATCAAACTAGATTTTGTTTTCCTCCATTTTTTGTACAAAATGATGCGTGAATCATTTTGATATACCATACTTTCACTATGTAAGCGCTTTATAAGCACCGTTTTTATTATTAGTAGTAGTATCGTCCCTATTTTCACAAAGTGACGGTAGTGAACGAAAATCGCATACACTTTGGGTGCCGATTTTCCTCACTACCGTCACTTCGTGAAAACAGGAACGGTATGTAACACTATTTCAAGAAAATGAAATCACTTTATCCTGTTAATAATTTTCATGCATCTTGAATACTTTATAAATATGACCTTGTCATACAAGTAGAGGATCTGAAACAAGTTGATACTAACCAAACTATAATTTCTATTCAGTATATGAACAAGAAACCAAATTTAATACATTTAGACCTTCCAGTTTGATGGAGTTGAGTTCAATTTTATGCTGTAATCATTTAGTTTTTGATTAGTCTGAAAGTACAAACGTATTGACCTTTATAAAGTTCATGGTGTTTTTTTAGTTGTTGTTTCTTTTTGGCTTCTTCCCAGCTCTGAAAGAAAAAGAGAAAGAGAAGTCTTTGCAACCAGAAATCACAAAAATTGTATGATAAACTGAATTTGTGAAATTTACTCAAATTGATTTTCTTTATTTGTTGGGGAGGGGGGGGGGTAAAGAAACATTGTCAAATCATCCTGTTCTAGCTTTATGTCAATTGTGAAATAGGCCTAGATGCAATCTGAAATGAGTTCAATTTAAAAAAAAAATCTTTTTATGAACTGTTACCGAAATTATCCGTAAATTATCCTATTCAAATTCTGAATATGCTTTGATATTCACTGATGTAGCATGAGACAGCAATGAGAGGAAAACTTTTCTTTAATTACAGTGGTTCAATATTTTGCAGGATATAGCTTTGATATAAAGTTTTCAGATAACAACTGCTGTCTGGAGATAACACATAAGAGCAATTCTGTCTTTCTGAACAAACATCAAAGTTCCTGGCTGAAAAATGTCAACTGCTGAAGTTCCAAGTCCGCAAAATATGTTTACCAATCTGAGTCACAGAGATAGGGTCTCTGAAAGAGACTACCCCGTGCTACTGATTTCTCAGACTTCTGCCTGTTTTTTGGATGAAGAAAGGACTACAAATCTGTCGTCAAGCTCGTAACTGGGCTCCAATCTCAACCAAACTGGTATCCACAGGTTATACTGGTCAACAGATATATCATTGGGTTTGGATAGCTAGAATGTTGTCCCTAGGTGTAATTTTATATCTCTTATTGATGATTTGTTCCACTTTATGCCTTTTTTTATTATCTTTAATTGCAAACTAGAAGTCTATGCTTTTGCTATTGCAGATGCAAGCTTTTAAATACTGGTTGTTTCCTTGTTGATTATGATGAAGAAATTGGACAATGAATCAAGAAACTAGTGTTTCTCAAAAATCTAGCAATACACATTTGATGGGTGAGATAGGACATGTTTCAAGAGGACAATGATTCCTTATACATAAATTGGAAGGTTGGACTAAATAGTGGGCTTTTAAAAATAATTTTTAAATCAAGAAATGTTAGGAATGCGATTTAATCCTGCCATTTCTCTCCCCTTGAATGTTGATTTCATGAGTCATATGTCATCACAATTTATGTGGTGGAATAAATTGGCAGAGTTAGACAAATTTGAATATAATGCTGAGAAAACCTGGTATTTTGTTCAATTTGTTGATGAACTTTCTTTTTATGACCTGTTAACATGGTCATTGGTTCAGAGAAGTTGGGGGAGGGGGTGGGGTGAGAGAATAATGTTTATGTCTTTCGAGTGTATGTTTTCACTTCAGAGCTAGAATGGCTTTAACTCTGATAAAGTATATGTATAAGTGTTGTCACCCTTCTGGCTGGCATCAGATGATGTGAGGATCGGCTCATCATATATTAAAAAGGAGAAGAATTTGAATATGAAGGAAGTCCCTTCGTTTATTGACCATTTAAAACAACAAAATATACAAAACAACAATACAATAGAAGAATGATATCAAATAACAACAACAAACAAAAGTAATAATGGTCAGGGTCCCTGAGAAGCAAGACTGCTTGTAGTCGGGACCCTATATACAAGTACATTATAACTTTAATATAAATTTAAATGCACACGCACGCATAACAAGCAAGCAAGCACACACACACACACACACACACACACACAAACACACGACAGAATGGAGCAAAGATATAAGAGGAAGGAAAAATACAAGATAAAGAGCTACGAAGAGAGATCGAGATTATTTAAAGAACTGAATAAACGTAACTTACACAATACTTTAAATCTGGATAGTGTTGTGCTATTTGTAATGTTACTACTTAACAAATTCCATTCATACACCCCTGTGAATCTAATTGAATTGCGAACATAATTGAATCTAGAGAAGGGTTTATGTAAATCTTGATGTTGTCTAGTTAAATGAGTGTGGAATTTTGAGTTTGTTTGAAACATGTTAGAAAAAACTTCTGGAAGGGCGCCTTTATTATATTTATACATAAAAATCCAGGTATTAAATCTTATCAGTTCGAAAAGAGGCATAATTTTATATTTAACAAAAAGTGGCGCGCTTGGAGTCATATAATGAGAGTTGGTCAACAGACGAACTGCTTTCTTTTGTAAAATAAACAATTTTGATAAGTTTGATTTGAAAGTATTGCCCCAAATTATAGTACAATAGTTCAGATGAGGAAGTAATATTGCATAATAAATATTAAATAATATTCTGAGGGGTAAAAAATCCTTAAGTCTATAAAATACACCAATACATTTGAGCAATTTATTACAGACACGATCGATATGTTTTTTCCAATTTAAATTTTCTTGGATGGTTACTCCTAAGAAGTCAATGCAATCTTTTCTTTCAATAGCAATATCATCAATTTTTACAACTTCAATGTCACTTAATACCTTTCTCTTCCTAGGATGGAAAATTACATATTTAGTTTTTTCAAAATTAAGTTGCAATTTATTACATTTGAACCAATTATTTAAAATACACAATTCTGAATTCACAGTGAAAATCAATTGAGATATATTAGCATGGGAGAACACAACAGCAGTGTCATCCGCAAAGAGAGAAAACTTCAATAATTTTGATGAATTAACAATGTCATTTACAATTTTACATATAAAATAAACAAAAGTGGCCCCAAAACTGAACCCTGAGGGACACCGATATCAATATTCATGAGATTGGATTCGACACCATCGACCACCACAAACTGTTTACGACTTAATAAATAACTTTGAAACCATTGAAGCGGTATACCACGAATACCATAGTAATTCAATTTTTTCAAGAGAATGTGGTGATCGATGGTGCAGTGTAGGAGGACTACAGAGTATGAGGGTCCATTAACAAGGCGAGGTAATCAGCGTGCAGTCTTTATACATGATTGCATGGGCTTTTCACATTCAATTTGGTAGCATCATTTGTAACCATGATTGACCAACTGGTCTCCAGCATGCCAGTCTGTCACCGTGCAGCCTTTGCCCTAGCTGTGAGCCTCTTTCATGACTCTATCATGACTCTATCTTTGGAACATACCCTTGTCGGTGTGGAATATAGTACGTGACAGTATACTAGAAAGTTTTAGAAAGTATAATAACATTTCCCAGAAGCGGATGGATATAGACATGATACTAAAATTAGATGTTGAACTTCAATTCCCTACATACAAAAAGAAGTGTAGAGATTCTAAATGAACATGACAACACTAAATGGTAGTCTAACTCTAAACACAACATTTCCCTTGTTTACAAGTACCCGGTCTAGGTCTATAGGATTCTTTACTCATTAGTCATCGGGGTATGTTGAGATAATGAAAATGTTTACACAGCAGTTTGCTCCCAAATTAGCATGGAAAAGGTTCCTTGAAAAGTTGGAATTACCCTGGTCCATATTTTATGCCACATGTTAACTGGTGTCTAGATGCCTCAAAGATACTTAGGTAATTAGTGCTACTAAATATTTAGAAATATAACTGTGTGGATGTGGAAACTTTTCAATGAAAGTAGGGGTCTATTTATTCTTACTTGCATGGACATTGATGAAATCTCAACCTTACTCATTACTAGAGAGGTGTATTAAAATATAACTACAGTTAATTCCTGTCTTATTGGCCACCTCTCTACAAAGGCCACCTTTCTATAGCAGTCATTCGCTTTATCTCCCTCTAGAAAGAAATATGTGTCATAGAACCTGTCTACAGTGACCACTTTCTTTGTTACCCTTGGGTGGACTTTATAGACCGATTTGACTGTACTCACTCTATTGTTAACTTTTTATTTACCTGGTATACCTGGATATTCACTTTGTAAAATGTTTATTTCTATATGATATTTCAAATCCAGGATTTAGAGCTACAAACCTCTCTATCTATTCTCCCACGTGATATATTTGTTGAGGCATGAACAGATGATCTCCCAGTGCCCTCATTATTTTTTGCTCAAAGTCCCTTGGGGCAAAGGAAGCAATGATGATCATGAAATTGAAAAATATCAGGTATCATTTTCTTAGCCATGCTGCCTCGCGGTAACTAAAGAGAAGGCTGTGATTAGTGTGTAGATAGTCTGAAATCATGATGGCTCTTTCTCTCTCACGATCTTCTTTTTGCTTGTTTTGGGTGATATGCTAGAGGGAAAATATAAATCCTCAACACTAGTTTATGCAAAGTTTATGGAAATATATGTACTGTCATACTCATAAATGGCTTTTACAAGCAGTGTTGTGCTCATGAGATATGAGTTCTTGCTAAGACGGTGTAAAGGAATATTGTACAGAGCATTAAATAATAAGCCCTATATAGACTTTTGAACATTTATTTTCACTTTTATTTTGTTTACCTTGATTTACATTATATATGCTGCATCATGTATGAAATATAATTAGAATTAATATACAGTATGAAACATGCCATAACTTTAACGTGTTTAAAAATGGAATTGTTATAGTTCATCTGTAAAAGGAATGAGATGATAAATTAATGAAGGAATTCATAGATGCTAAAATGTCTGTACTGTAGTGGCTTTGGGTAATCTATACTTTCAATTTGTCTCATTTTGTCTATTGTAAACCTCCTCGCTGGCTGTCATCGCCTCCCACATTTCAAATTGCCTCATTGATCATACCTAGCAAGGTTTACAGGTATAGAAATAATGAAGGTGAAAGTAATGATATTTCAATCTTTAAATGACTGTGTAATGATCTGCAATCATTCAATTAATATCATTGCTGTCACCACACTCTTATGCTTGACTTTTCAGATTTATCATCATATCGTATCACTTATTTTTCTGCTGAGAATCTCAACCGTATCTATATTTGTTACCGGAATGATCATTTAAAAGAACTTAAAGAGATTAGTATGATCAATCAATGGAGAAATTATCATTATGTTGTTAAAGACATAATGATATATTCCTTGTTATGTGAAGAAAGGAATGGAGTGAAGAGAGGCAATAATACCAAAGTGTTACTGTTTATTAGTTACAAGTTTTAACTGTTAAGAATTATTGTGTCAGGAATAAATCCATTCTGTGTTTGTCAATATACCTTTATTTCCAGCAGTGCTACTTTTGAAATGTGTTACGAATTTGGCAAAACATGGAAACAGAGCAATAAATCAGGTTTTGTACGAACCACAAATAAATAATCTTGTATCAGAAGGCATTGCCCTGATTGTGGTGTGTATCAAGTTTCTAGTGAAAATATATCCAATTTCCAAATTAAAAACAAATTTGTACTTTAATATCCCATTTTGAGACAAATCAATTACTCCTACATGTGACACTTCTCAACTTTAGGTATGAAGTGGAGACATCATACATGATTTATTAGACACTATAGGAGCTCCTTCAACCCCAAATTGTTGAGCTCCTTAGGCCTGTTTTCATCAGACCAAAGTTGCAAAATAACCTGCTATTTTAACTACCGCTAGCCAGATCATCAGCCCGCAGTTGCAATTAGCGGGTTATTTTGTTGAGAAAATATCCAGAGAAATTTTGTTTTTGTTTCCAAAATATCCATCTGTTTGGGAAATAGCGGGCTAATTTGCGCCCATCCGAGCTAGTTTGTGATGAGCGTATCGGTCTGGTAAAGACGCAATTTCGATTTTCTGGATAATATCTCAAGTCTGAAAATAGCAAGTTATTTGGCAAACTCGAGCTAATGAGGACAGGCCTATTGAGCGGTCTCCTCAGAAGGCATATCAAGTCTGACTTCATTGGATTGGTATGTTCACCTCATATTTACTTTTCTGGGAGGACATCTATAAATTTTACGATTTGAACAGGTAGCTGGAATGACTGGTGGTGACCCTTGTGCCTCCGTCTTGATTAGCAGGCCAGTGAGATACAAAATATGGTTTCATACAACTTTTTTTCACCTTCAATTTTAGAAGGACTCCTCTATTTCCTAGAATATAAACGTTCAATTAAATTGGTGTATGAAAGAGATCAATTTAGAGGGAAGTGCCCTTTTGTATTGGTCCTACAATTCTTATATGAAAGGAAATCCCATAGCAAATCAAACTAGATTTTGTTTTCCTCCATTTTTTGTACAAAATGATGCGTGAATCATTTTGATATACCATACTTTCACTATGTAAGCGCTTTATAAGCACCGTTTTTATTATTAGTAGTAGTATCGTCCCTATTTTCACAAAGTGACGGTAGTGAACGAAAATCGCATACACTTTGGGTGCCGATTTTCCTCACTACCGTCACTTCGTGAAAACAGGAACGGTATGTAACACTATTTCAAGAAAATGAAATCACTTTATCCTGTTAATAATTTTCATGCATCTTGAATACTTTATAAATATGACCTTGTCATACAAGTAGAGGATCTGAAACAAGTTGATACTAACCAAACTATAATTTCTATTCAGTATATGAACAAGAAACCAAATTTAATACATTTAGACCTTCCAGTTTGATGGAGTTGAGTTCAATTTTATGCTGTAATCATTTAGTTTTTGATTAGTCTGAAAGTACAAACGTATTGACCTTTATAAAGTTCATGGTGTTTTTTTAGTTGTTGTTTCTTTTTGGCTTCTTCCCAGCTCTGAAAGAAAAAGAGAAAGAGAAGTCTTTGCAACCAGAAATCACAAAAATTGTATGATAAACTGAATTTGTGAAATTTACTCAAATTGATTTTCTTTATTTGTTGGGGAGGGGGGGGGGTAAAGAAACATTGTCAAATCATCCTGTTCTAGCTTTATGTCAATTGTGAAATAGGCCTAGATGCAATCTGAAATGAGTTCAATTTAAAAAAAAAATCT